GGGGCAGCTCGACTTGAATGATTTTCCGTCTGGCCGTTTGTAACCCGCCGGCCAGATGGGATCAAACGAGTCAGAACACGGGCAATCAAAAGAGAAAGCTGGATTACAACTACAGGACCGCCGTCATCATAAAAGAAAATGACAGTCATCATCAGTCTAGATATGAATCGGTTATCAAAAGCACTTTGAAAGTCAAAATGGGGATAGATGTGAGCGATGGGAGGGACGTTGCTTCCACAGATCAGAAAAATGGAGATGACAGAGATGAGGAGGCGCCCTCGATCAAACTGAGTAGACATCAATGCTCGGTGTTTGATGTGTGAGTCAGTTTTGATACACAAGAAAAGTATGTACATGTCAGACCAGCATCCCTCTTTCTCTTCTCTCCTCTCTCATTAAATGCAAAGTTGGTAGGGAGTCTCAATGAGAGCTTGGCTCCAGCTGAGGGAGAGGTAAGAGGCTGCATCTCATGTGCTTACCTGCGTGTGTGTGTGTGTGTGTGTGTGTGTGGTTTCTACTCGTGCATGGTTACATACCAAGATGTTATTTAAACATCCCATTAAGACTGATTGTTCCTGCTTTGGACTTCCCTCTGGAAGCGTCACCATTGGTTTCACCTGCTCATCTAATGCTTTGTGCAGTGAAGAGCATCGTTTTGTGCTTCCTCCACCATTTCATAAGTCTGCACTGCTGCTTTCAGCCACACAGTGCGTCACCGCAGCCTGCATAGAGGAGATTAGAGTACCATGTGCCTGATTCCACTCGCCACCTGCCTGCTTTACCCTGTTATTATCACTGTTAAATTCGACTTTACCCTGCTGTGCACTGGCGCCTGGATCTCCTGTGTTTCCTGTAGAGTTTAGTCAAGTTTACGTTGCGCTGAACACACAAAGAAAAAGTTATATTTTGGACAGTGGCTTCTTCAGGGATGCTGTGTCTTCAAAATTACACATTTTGAATGAAGTTCCTTAAACTAATGTTCTTTGTTGTGTTGTCTCTTGTTCCCAGGACTCAGAAGGTGTGGAGATCATGTTGGGAGTCTGTTCTAGTGGCCTGCTCATCTACAGGGACAGGTTGCGGATCAACAGGTTCGCCTGGCCCAAAATCCTCAAGATCTCCTACAAGAGGAACAACTTCTACATCAAAATCCGTCCTGGCGAGGTAAGAACCTAAAAGTGTCGGAAATAACTGTTACATGTATTATATGGATTTCAAGACATGCAGAATAAGCAAAGCAAGTTCTAAACTTCCTGTCCTATTCCTGTATAGAATGTCCTGACCGTTAAGTGATATTTCATCAAGTTAATAATGTGATGTCAACTTAAAGGTCCCATGTCATGGCCATTTCCACTGATCATAATTCCATTGTTGAGGTCTACTAGAATAGATTTATATTGTGCAATTTTCCAAACTCACATTGGTTTCTCAAACAGCATCTCTGTAAACTACGTGTATTCACTGAATTTCACTCTCTTCCTTTAACGGCTCGTTGTAGCCCCACCCTCCCTGTGAGCACAGTGTGCTCTGATTGGTCGGGACGTTGTGAATCACGCTAAGCTCCGTGGAGGTGTTGTTTCCTTGTTTAGCGATACACAGCGAAACACAGCCAAACTCACCCTGAGCACACACAAACTCACAGCCGAAGTAAAAACAATAAGTGTGGCTTGATATTGAGTAAGAAAAAGGTNATAGCTCCAGCCCCCACCCTCCATGTGAGCCCAGTGTGCTCTGATTGGTCGGGACGTTGTGAATCGCGCTAAGCTCCGTGGAGGTGTTGTTTCCTTGTTTAGCGATACACAGCCAAACTCACCCTGAGCACACACAAACTCACAGACGAAGTAAAAACAATAAGTGTGGCTTGATATTGAGTAAGAAAAAGGTTGATAAACGCTGTGAGAATGGGTCTGCAGAGAGAATTTCGTCGCGATCCCAACTGTCTGTTATCAGCCTGCAGCCAGGGAGGAGAGATCAGCAGAGCTGCATGCACTGAGTGTGTGTGTGAGGAAGTCCGTGGATTGGTCAATTTGGACCAATCAGCGGGGGCTTAACGTAACGGCTCCGCAAACGTAACGTAACGTAACGGCTCCACAGATTGGTCCATTTCGTTCCGGGTACGGTTGACATCATGCGTACCCGGAAGAATCAAATGGACAATGACGTATCTGCAACGAGGCGTTTTGGGGAGGTATTTTCTGTGTTAGAGTTTTACTCGCTACAGGGTGTACTTTGAGGGTTTGTGACTCTGCAGACCGTTTACATGCATAAAAACCTTCATAACACACAAGGGGACGGGTAATAACCAGAAAAGCATGACATGGGACCTTTAAATCAACTTCATTGGCACTGTACAGCTGTTATAATTCAGTAAAGCTTTAAAATTGGATAGGAATATGGATTCATACATTTTGAAAATATGACTTAGTAACAATATAATTTATATTAATAAAATATACTAAAATAGTGTGTAGTGAATGTGACAGGTGTTTTGTCTCTTTTGCAGTTTGAGCAGTTTGAAAGCACAATTGGTTTCAAGCTCCCAAATCATCGCGCTGCAAAGCGGCTGTGGAAGGTCTGTGTGGAGCACCACACCTTCTTCAGGTAAGAAAGACAGAGGGTCTTTGGCTGGGGTAGAACATAACTTTGAAACTGCTGTAGGCATCTTATTATTTTGAAAATAACATCACATTTTGTATAAATGCCATTATATTGACTTGTTCTGGTGTCAGGTGTATGTTCACTACCGATAAGTGATTACAAAACATCTCCCTTGGCACAAAAGAGACGGTGTCGTGTCCATAACTGGACTCGCTAACAGAAACGACTTTGCAATATGTTCTTGTTTATTGGTAACTGCCATGCTAGTTCTGTAAATATATGTTTACTGATAATCCCAATAGGTGATTTATTTGTAGTGTAATAGAAACAGTGTTTGGGAACATTTAATCTATCTTTGTGCTTCTTTAAGCAAAAAAAACAGCTCCCTTTAGGTTCTTTTTAAAAAGCGAGCCATGTCTGAGGGCCCTCTTGAGAATATTCAAATGAGTAGGAGATGTTATGTTTTACATTGCGCTTCTTAAATCTGTGTTATTTCAGTTTTGATTAATGTGAATGTTTGTACCTTGTGATAGGCTCGTATCCCCCGAGGCACCACCGAAGAAGTTCATGAGCCTCGGCTCTAAGTTTCGCTACAGCGGCAGAACGCAGGCTCAGACCCGCAGGGCGAGCTCTCAGATCCAAAGACCGGCGCCGCTGTTCGAACGCTCCGCCAGCAAACGCTACAACATGTCCCGCAGCTTAGACGGAGGTGAGGAGCAGCTGAGAGGTTTCATTCATTGCCGGCTAAAGCCACCCAAGTAGCATTTATTCAGTTGATTCCAGTTTACTGCGCACCTTTTACATTTGTGTTCCTAATTTTAGATTATTGTTTATTGTGGGTTTTCTGAACTTATTCAGGTCACTTATTATGCAAAATCCACTTTTTCATGTCTTTTATACATAAACATGTGTCCCCTCTGTGTTAAGAGGTTCTGAAAGTTTCAGGAAAAAAGATTCACTCACTTTTTGTCCTGATTCTTTTTATATAAAAACCTGTCTGAAAATGAGCTGTTCAGATTTTGGCCACTTTATGATGTCATCACGATTTTTTGGCTTGTGTCACAAGAAACGCAACATCTTGCAAGAAACAGCGTCTGAGGGCTTCTTAACATTTAACAAACTATGAATGAACGGGAAGAAACTCAGCTATCAGACGATATGAACAGCTAAACAAAACACAAGGGTAATGGCAAGCTTCTGAATTAGCCCTGAGCGAAAAAGTTCTAACGCACTTAGCACAGAACTCACGGTAGAAATACTTTATTACTTATCGGATCTGCACAAACAGATATCAGATTAAAGCTAAGAATCCACAGATTCTAGAGGTATAAGTATCATCAAACTCAGGCAGCGAAAGCGAAACCAGACAAGACACAACTTAGCTTTACGGAGCCAAAACGGCAAATATGTCTTACCGTTGCTGTTTTTCTGATTAAAAGTTGTGTTCAATGGCATTAAAATGATAAAAACACTGCTGAAGGTTAATCCAAAGGTTAATCCAATGTGTCCGTGTCACTTTGAAATGATTACTGATAATCCATCATTCCATTTTTGTCAAAAACAGAGATTTCATATTAGCTGCTATGATAGCTACGACCCAGCTTCCGGTTGTGGGCAAACTGCGTGCACATCACTCTCACTCCTCTATGGCAATGTTTAGATGGATTTTAGGAACCTCCCCTCGATTCTATTGGCTCTAACGGTTAAAAAGAGGTGTCAATCATCAAAATCGACCTATGGGTTCCAGAGATATGGCAAATCCACCCAAATGACCCCAGAAGTGGGGTTCTTGTTGCTAAACCTCTCTAAAAAGGTCAAATGTCACTTTTTTTGCATCGATCTTGATACAGGGTACTTATTATATGTCACTGTTATTTTCACTATAAGTAATGTTTTTTTTTGGACGGACACTGTAATTTACATTTTTTTTTACTGTGTTCAATCTGAATTTACTTTAAAATAAAAAAAATCTATATTGATTCTGACTCTTCTACATCCAACTCACATGTTTATCATTGCTTTGAGAATTGCTTTATTAATTACCGTAATTTTCGGACTATAAGACCGCACCTGAATATTAATCCGCAGCAGCGGCATACCACACTCTCGGTTCCCACTTTTACTTTTGCGCGCTACCTGTCTCACTCTTTTCCGGCCTCCAGCTTTTCCTGCTGGAACCCGCCGCTTAAAGGTGGGGGTCCGCGGACCGGCCATAGAGCCCATAGAGTTAAAGGTGGTGGCCGTTAGCTGTAAAAATCCATAGATTAGCCGCACCGTTATATAAGCCGCAGCGTCGAAAAATAGGGAAAAAGGCGCGGTTTATAGTCCGAAAATTACGGTACTCCTTTTTAGAAGTGAAGATATAGTCATTTGTTCTGGGCATGTCATTTTCGAGCCTGAGACCTGCAAAACAGGCTTGGGGCTTAACAGGTTGACCATTAGCCAACTACCGACCAAGGTAACCTCCCCCCCCCACCTTATCACCCGAATCTTGTGTTCACTTTGAATTGTCGCGTGCTGAAAGGTGCTATATAAATAAACTTGCCTTGCCTTAACCAAATATCTCTCAGAGGGGCGTGGGGAGGGGCTCCTTATTTTCATCTAATGTACCAGACAGAGAATCAGCACTTTGGAAACAGGGCTGAAACAGAGGGGATTATGGGATGCTGCAATGATCTGTTTGGTATTTCGAGCCAAACACTTCAGAGACATGTTTTGTATATATCTGAGACCTATAATATATTGATGGAAAAGAGTATAACAGGGGACCTTTAAGGGACACTTTTTTTCTCACTAAAAGAAAACTGCTGCTACAGTACTTCTTCTGACGTGCAAAAATGACAGAAGCCTTTGTAAGAACTCTGAATTCTTTCCTCTTTTTATTTCTTCAAAAAGAAAGAAAAATGTGCTTTGTCTGAAAGCCTGCAAAGATAAAATATCTGACACACTTGTGTGGTGCTCTGACAGAGCCACAATAGGTATTTTAACAACAATGTGCAGGAAAAAACCAAACCCTTTATCCCACCGCTCACATTTTTCCTTTGACTTCAAACCGGACCACAGGTGTCACATTTTAAAAACGTGTCAAATCCATCTTCCCGTCCCGCAGCACCCATTACGGAGAGCCATGAGACTCTGATGAAGGACAGCGCTGCTGACGGGGTTTCCAAAGTCATCGCCAAGGGAGACATCGTCGCCGTAGTGACGGAGAAGAAGACGGAGGAAGAGAAGGCGGAGCAGGAAGACGCTCAGATGGCTGCAGAGATGCCAGAGCCCTCCACACCGCTCAGACACGACACAAAGGTAAAGGCTCAGAGCTGCATTTCATGTGGATAAAGAAGCTTTAAGAGGCTTTGATTGTGTTTGGTTCAAAGAGATATGCCACCAGGTTGTTGCTGCAATCTTTTTAAATCCTTGTTTGTTTTTTTCTTTCTTAATAGACTTTTTAATGGCTGATGATAATTTCCCAGTTGCTTTCAGCTTAACCCTCTGCAGCAGACCAAAGTGCTTCTACTCATCTTGTGTGCGCTTTACTAATTAGATTTTCTTTTCTTGTCTTTCCTTTGACCCCACAATACACTCGTGTGTGTGCTCATGCGTATTCGTGTCTTTTCCCTTTCTCGCTCCACTCCATTTACGCACACACGTCATCCCTTCGTTGACATTTTCCCTCCATCAGTGCTCCCCTCATGTTTACTCCAGCGACCCCCTCCGCTCCGAGCTCTCCCTCCCCTCATCTCCCGTTTCCTCCACGAAAGTACGGCGGAGGCGCAGGGAGGGCGCGCGCAAACGGGCGTCGTCGGTCAGTCCGGCCAAGAGCAACGACAGTTGCCGCCGACGCCAAGCCCTCGACGACCGTAAAGCCGCGCTGCTGGACGAGCAGGTGCTGCTGCTCTCTGCCCGAAAGCAGAGGCTGGAGCAGGGCAAGAGGCGCGGCGGCATGCTGTTCTCCTTCTCCCTGCACCTGCCCGACCTGTCCTCCTACCTGGACGAGGACGGATACATCTCCTTCCCCGATCTGTCCGAGATGCGCTTCCTCCCCATGTGCGCGCAGAACTTCATGCCCATTAAGTCACCCTCGCTCATCCCCTGCTTCCTCTTCATCTTCTTCTTCCTGCTGTCCACTTCGTTTTCCGTCCCGTACGCCATCTCCCTCTCCTTCCCCCTGGCGCTGTGCCTCTGCTACCTGGAGCCCAAGGCAGCCTCCCTGACCGCATCCATAGCCCACGGCTACCATGACCATGACAGTTCAGAGGAAGAGGAGGAGGAGGAGGTGTGTGTGCGTACGTTTGTTCCAGGGCCCGCCTCTGGCTTAGACTGATAGTTCATTAAACAGTTAAACCCTTATCCCGTCCTGTATCTCGCCGACCTGGAGACTGTGTGTGTCCCAGTGTCTGTCAGTTGTCCTACTTTCAGAACCTCATCTCTGTCCCGTCTCACTCTCATCCTGTAGGAACATCCTCATCTGCATCACACAGAGATGAAGTGTCATAGTTTCATATGTAACCAGCTTGCATTTACTCTTTTTAATTAAAGGGTTAGACACAAATATTAAGCAGTTTTTAATAACATAAGTCTGACATTTGACTACTCATTTATACATTGACAACATTTGCTGTATGCATCATCACTAACAAATCACCATTAATTAATATCACTGTCATGTTGCAGTTCTTTGTAAACATATTTTAACATTTGATAGAGATATAATGAGGATTTGAAGAACTCACCTGTCTTCATTTAGTCACTAATCTCTCACCAAGCCTCATATTAAAAACAAACACGTAAGCTTTGTGCCTAACCCATATCAGTGTTATCATCAACCTTCATGACTGTTAAGAGAGCTCCACCAGCTGCATGAAAACACCTCCATGTTACCATGCACTCAGTCTCTCTGCATAACTATCTGAGTCAAGCAACGCAGCACAAATTGAAATGAATGATTTAAATAGAACTTCTGCAGAAAAGGGCTAAAATTAGCCAAAGTGCAGAGATGTTTTTTTGCCCCCCCCCCTCAAGCGACACCCTTTTGTATCACAGAGTAATGCATGCTGGGTTGCAGAGAGACGGTGACAGTTAGATGCATCCAAATCATCCTCAGTGTCAACATGCATGGAGAGGAGGGAGGAGGGCCTGAAAGTCAGGTTACTGTTCGTCAAATCTAATTTGACCAGCGACAACACAGAGAATGCTTTACCTAGAAAAATATACCAGGATTCAACCGTATCCAAATCCAAAGCAAATGATATATGACTTTTAGATGTCCAAGTGACTGACCGAAGGTTTCAACTTCCTCTGAGTCTGTTTTTGCTTGCTTACTTTTCATTTGCTTTTTATTCTTTCTTTCTTTTGTTCTTTTCCTAACCGTATCTGCAGGTTGTCTGATATATGTGTGTGTAGCTTCCAGAAACAGCCTGAGCATTTCCATTCGTTCCATCTGTGGTTATGAAGAATCTCTGTCGACGATCAATGCATCTTAAAGGGTTTACAGTTTGGGTTCTTGTTGTTTTCTTGCTTGCCAATCGGAACGGTTTTTGGTCGGTTTGTGAACGCAGACTGACAGCGAACAAACCGACTTTGCCTTTGATGGAGATATGACCTGCACAGAGGTTTGTACATTAAGGGAAGACGTCATACTTAAGGCATGAACCAAGTACTGATGGAGCAGAGGAATAAAGTGTTGCTGAATCAGAGATGTAATGCTTATTGAAACAATAAGGAGAATTTGTGTACTTCTGCATGTGACGCATGCAATGCATCTTGATATGCCTATTTTGATCTTTCCTGTCTCTTTATATGTATTTGACTGTCTATTCCATTGGCTAGCTTTCTTATTAACAAGCCAAAGTCATGTTGTGAATCCCAGGCTGTTCCACTTGTTCTCTATATACTATTTCCTAAACCTCACCCCTGTAGTTTCTTCCCCTGTCAAGCTTCCATTTTGTTGTGAGAATCTGGTGAAAGGGTTATGAAATACTCCTTTTGATAGCACGCTAAATACATTCAATACATTTTAAAACCGTTAGATCAGCCTATCATTTCATTTTATCAACAGAAGTTGATGCTCAGCTTCCACACTTATTGGTCTAAACTTTAAAAATGTTTACTTTAAAAAGGGTTCAAGTCAAAGGTATTTAGAGAAAAGACTGCAAATGTAATGCTATCTCTGGTAACATTGGGCTCTGGTGTACATTTCCCTGAATAACAATACAAGACAAGACAATCCTTACAATAATGAGCAACATAGAGCCGCTATTTTATCCTCTAATAGCAACAAGGACTGGCCTCCACCCAGTAAAACATTAGGACTTACAGTTTTTGTATTTTTTTTAAATAGCTTAACCCCAGAAACATATGCAGTTTAGCTGCTGGTTGACTCCTTAGCTTTGAAAGCAACACTCGATTGTGGGTGGTAAACTAATTAGCTGCACAGATGGCGGGGTATCGTTACAGCACCTCACGCTTTTGCTTTTGGAAAGCATCCCTGTTATAATACCTCTGTGGAGAAATGTAAAGCTTGACAGGCCTGAAGTGCCTAGTCACGGTTGCTTATGCTACTGGACAGGGGTTTAGCGAATTTCTGTCACAAAATGCTTTACTCTATTGAATCCCACCCTCTCTTATTTCTCTGCTTGCCAATTCTTGTTGCTCACTTTCTCTTTCCCCTGATTCACCGTTCTGTGTTTCCTCTCTTTTAATAACACTCTCTGTCCTCCCCTCTTTGCTGGCTTTCAGTCGGACGCAGATGAGGACTCTGAGATGCCCACTCAGGTACACCGGGCTCGCTTCATGGCCCTGCTCAGTGCATCACTCCATCCCCGCCTCCAGATGCACTGAGCCGCTCAGACATCAGTCGCTTTGTGCCCTCTCTCCACCCGCTGGCTTGCTTGCTGCCCCTTCTGTTACTCACCATCACACCACACACCACACTGACCATTCGCTTTTGCCTGATTTCACTTCACAGACTGCTGCTGTAAAGCCATTCCAGCTCATTTCCAAATGCTATTGTTTGTAAATGATGGTTTCATGTTTCTTTTCCCATTTGAGTCAGATTTCACATTTGTTCAAGTTTTTTTCTCATTTGCTTTAACAGTGAGTTGTGTCATCATATCATTTGTTGGCATATAGTTGAAGACAAAGCTCCCAATATCTCCGCAACAACAAGTCTAAATGAACTATACAAAACACCTTTTAACTACAATTCATCTCCCCTCTTTTGTCTTTACAGTATAGTTTCATAAGACGAGTAAAAGGGGAAAACGTATTTATCAAGCATAGTAATCTGATGCTAGAGGTTGGTAAGATGCATGACTGAAATGTGCATGCAGGTACTCTTCCTTTAAAGGATCCTAACTGATAACAAATAGGTCTAACATACCAGTAGCTCTGCCAGTGTTGGATTGTCTTCTGGAGTCCCTGTGTGAATAGTTTAGTACGTTTTTATCTAACAGATTTCTGCTGTGAGCATCCAAATTAACTTTTCTGATAAATAAAGTGACACAAATCAAACTGCATTAAGTCAGTTTGCAGAGGTCTTAACTTCTAATGAGATTTGGGAGTGTTGTGCTTAACTAAACTTGTAAACTATGCATGAAATCCTTCATTTTCATTGGATTAAGCTGGTCCTAAATGCTCTCTTAGCATTTAAGTACAAGCTGCTTCTCTCTTAGTTACAGCTGCCATGTGAGTGAACATTGTGCCATAGTGTTGCTGTGCGTACTGTGGACATTGAACGTGAATAATGAAGCTTAAAATGCAATTCATTAAAGTCTGCATTGATTTATCAAGACTTTTTCCGAGCTGCATTTTATGCTTCCCAACGTTTTTATGGTAAATCATTGGTTATTGCAAGCTATCGTTGCGTACATAAAGCATGGCCGTCGTTCCCCTTCGCGCTTCTCCTGGCCTCATCTCCTTGTGTCATGGTTGACCGGTTACTCTAGGACGCCTCGCCTCCGGAAGAGATGGTCAAGCACCAGACCAACATCAGCGAGCTGAAGCGCTCCTTCCTGGAGACGGGGGAAAATTCTTCGGGCCCGACCGAATGGGAGAAGAGACTCTCCTCGTCCCCGGCACGCTCACCCAGAGCGGACGAACCCCCGATGATAGTGCCGCTGGAGCCGGAGGACGTAAGCTGCTGAAGCCGACTGAATGACGGCGTGTTTGTGTGTGAAGCATGACATCACCAAGGAGACCTTTACCAAAACAAACACATCCATCCCCAGTGTTTGCATAACGAGTCATAGTGCAGTCAATTCAGTAATCATAACGGGGCTGGAGAGATATATTTTCCACATCAAAATGAGTCTGGTGCAATATATTTTATATTCCAAATGTCTCTCGTGCATATCAATGAAGCACTTGAGACTTTTATCTGGGGAGTCATTTAAAGTTACGACCGCCATATGGTTTCTCTCTATTCCTCATCATTAGGAGCTTATTTACATATTGATTTATCTCTTGTTGTCTTGGTTGATGCAGTCATTAATCAATAATAAGATTGTTGTGCTTAGTGACATCATGACATGCTGGAGTTAGGAGCAGTTTCATTAGAGTTTCTCCTTGTGTTGTCGAACATAATCTGACGAACTAACGCAGGACAAATGAGCGGCAAATCCTCTGACGACTAATTACTGAAATAACAAGATGCTGGTTTACTGGAAGGGTTTCAGGATCTGGATGTCCATTTGATCATGTGGTCACACTGGACCCGGCCTGTATCAATTTATGTGAACGTATTAATAATTTTTAAATGTCTTCCTCCTTTTAGTCTGAAGACGAGCTGCCTGCAGGAGAAGAGACTAAAGGGGAGGTGGAACCTAAACTCGCTGAGGTAAACTTCTTCCCTTCTTTGTTTCACATGGAAGAAAACTTGTATTTTGTGAATGTGGTGTTGTGTTCTGCCCTCTGTTTGTACCTAGCTCCAGACGTATCTGGACACTGGCACAGTTTTTGGTATACTTCACATTTATAGTTTTCCCATTTTTGTGCTTAATTCAGCTTTTTCTCATCGGTCTGTATCGCTTTTTAGAATAATTCTAGTCCTCAAAATACATATCTGATATAAATCATATTAAATATAACTTTAAAATTCAGAAGAAGACATTTATTTAGTCATAAAGGTTCCAAAATAAATGTTAGTAACACTGTCTTAACTTAATACAAAGACAGTCCATAAAAAGATCAGAGAAACAAGGTTAAACGCTACATCCAAACAGTGCATCTTTGTCCAAGTATTAATGGAGCTCAGTCTGTGTGTGTGTCGTCTCTTGATAAATAGTCTCTTGAGCTTACCTTCGCTGTCTTCGTCTTTGTGATGTCCTCTGTCTATTAACTTGAACGACCCATGTCCAATAAGCCAAGTGTCTCCTCAGGCGGCAAGATATCTGGTGAAATACGTGGTGGAAAGCATGGCGACAGATTTGGCCACTTCCTCAGGGCCTCACGGTCTTAGTCGGTCAACCACGATGGACGACGACGTCTTCATGGACGGGACCCTCAGGGAGGTGGACGAGAAAACCCCCGACTCTCAGGAGGAGAGAGCGGAGCTGAAGGTCAGCCCCGGAGCTGTCAGACAGGAAGTGTCCCAGGCCATCAGTGACAAGAAAGGAATGCTCATTATTTTGAAAGATGCGGACGACACAGAGGGCAAAGAGATGAGTTCTGTTGATGAAGAAGAGGAGCCCACCATTCCTGAAGAGGATGAAGCTGAGGAGAATGAAATGCTATCTGCATCTAAAGAGAGAGAAGACACTTCTGTAGGTATAGATGCAGAAGACAAGATGCAGCGCCTGAGGATCGAGATAAAAACTGAAGACATGACTCAGATTAAAGGTATCGACTCGCCTAAAAAGGCCATGGCATCCTGGATATCTGAGGAGGTGAAGGCCGAGGCTTCAGAGGTCATCAGTGTGACAAATGGAGTAAAAGAGATGACTAACGGCATAAACCAGGAAGCAGAAATATTCATCTTTAAAGCGGGCCAAGCAGAGCAGTCAAAGTCCTTCGAAGAGGCCCAAACGAAAAGGTCAGAGTTCTTCGAAGAGGTCCAACAAGAGCAGTCAAAGTCCTTCGAAGAGGCCCAAACGAAAAGGTCAGAGTTCTTCGAAGGGGTCCAAACGAAGAAGTCAGAGTCCTTCGAAGAGGTCCAAACTAAAAGGTCAGAGTTCTTCAAAGAGGCCCAAACGAAGAAGTCAGAGTTCTTCAAAGAGGCCCAAATTAAGAAGTCAGAGTTCTTCGAAGAGGTCGAAACTAAGAAGTCAGAGTTCTTCGAAGAGGTCGAAACGGAGCAGACAGAGTTCTTCGAAGAGGTCGAAACGGAGCAGACAGATTTCTTCGAAGAGGTCAAAGCGAAGAAGTCAGAGTTCTTCGAAGAGGTCGAAACGGAGCAGACAGATTTCTTCGAAGAAGCCCAAACAGAGCAGTCAAAGTCCTTCAAAGAGATCCAAACGAAAAGGTCAGAGTTCTTCGAAGAAGCCCAAACGGAGCAGACAGATTTCTTCGAAGAGGCCCAAGCGGAGCAGACAGATTTCTTCGAAGAGGCCCAAACGAAGCCGTCAAAGTCCGGCCTGATTACCATTTCGGAATCCTCTCCTACGTCCTTCGCAGTGGTACTGTATAAAACCTAAAAACAACAACTGGGTTTGGCTGCCTCCCTCCATCTCTACACCACCAACACCTCCCTCAGCCTTCCCCATTGCCTTCCCTCCAGCAGCAGCCAAACCAGACTAACAACAGTGTAACCAAACGCTCTGCATGGCTAACCTTAACACCCAGCGTTTACTCTCTCGCCAAACCGCCGGTTTCTGTTGCAATCGGGCCCGCTGCTTCTTTTGTTTTGGGTTTGTTTTTGAGTTTGTTGACAGCTAAAAACAGCTCGCCTTGCCTCAGCAGCTAGCTCCCGCAGCTGATAAGGAAAGAAATGGGTTTGTTTTCCCACAGTTTTGCTCCGCTGCACCATTTCTTTCTTTCAGCTCTTATCTGTTTGCTGAAAGCAGTGACTTCATAGCTCTTGGCTAAGTGCCATCGCTGCAGCTTTTCCCCACCTCATCTTCCAAAAACCCCTCCGCCCCTCTAACATGTCAGAATACACATTGTATGGGTCTACTAGGGCTGCTCAATTAATCGTATTTTAATCGCGATTACGATTATGGCTTGCAACGATTACGAAAACAACGTAATCGAAATAAACAACGATTATTTCTCTTTATGGCAAAGTCAAATGTCCGTTTTTTTTGTTACGTGCACATATTTTTAGACGCGTCCTGGGTCTCTCTCCTCCCCAAGTGGAAAAGCCTCATCCTTTGGTGTACGGGTACGCTCTGCTGCATGTCTCCCTACCTGTGTTTGTCTTGCTCCTTATCTCTCCTGTCAGTTATGTCAGTGTACTTGTGGTCTGTGTCTCGTTTTACTTGCTCCCACCTCTTTTTTCCCAACCTTTTCCTTATAATACCTACCATGACCCTTATGCCACAATTGTCGTTATGGAGATTAGACGAAAACTTTTATTCAGTGTCCATCTGGGATCACCGACGAGTAATACCGTTTTTAATTATTAGAGCTAATAAACCCAGTTATTAACATTAACGCTAATAATTTACGCTAATAAGTAACTGAAACTTTTGTAGGTAAATAACCTCTTTTTTTACAAACTTGACATACAAAAATTGTCAACTAACGGGACTTGAAATTCATATTAAGTGACTTTTTGGTTTTTTTTTTATAATAGAATTTTTTTTTTTTTTTCATTATTATT